TGTTCCCAATGACCACTGCTGGGCCACTGCCTGACCATGTCACGGATGCCCCTGCCAGGTCAGGCAAAACCCAGCTGGCCCTGGCATGGCCACCCAACAGCCCTGCAGGGCCCAGTGCCAGACCAAGGCCTTGTCTCCAGCCTCTCCCCCAAGGGGCTTGGGGTCCTTCCTGCACCCTCCCACCTACTCATCTCTGGACTCAGCCCCAGTGTGAATCCTCACCCTGAGCTCAGCCAACTCCTCCAGCCATGTTCTGCAGCTCAAGGAAGGAACTGCCTTTTGTAGCTGGGATCTGCCCCAGCTTCAGCAGCAGCCTTGAATTATGCTAAGCGACTAGAGAGTAACATGGCACGCAGCATCCAAGAGCCCAGGTGAGACCTGAGTGGGGCTGGGCTATGGGAGCTCTGGCTTCAGGACCCTTCTCAGAATGGATCCTCCAGGCCAGTCTCCCCCACACCCCTGGTTGCCAAACCGGGTGCAGGAGTCCACAGCCAGGTCAGCTACTTTCCGGGGAGAAGGCCAGGACTGCAGACCCCGCCCACGCCTGGGGTCAGCCTCCCTGGGAGCAGCACCATTTGCTGCTTGGGATCAGCCAGGCCAACTGGCCAACTCCCCGCAGATGGGAGGGCTGTGAGGTCAGCACCAGCGAACCCCTAGAGGTGCCAAAAAATGCCAGTGTGGGTACCAGGGGGCTTCCTTGCCCATCAGGGGAAGCCCACGGGGTCCAGTCAGCGCCCATGATGGAAGCTCAAGTCCCAGGAGCTGCACCCCAGTGAGGGTCGTTGGCTGGCCGAGGTGGGAGGGGTCACTGAGGTCAGGAGTTTGAGACCAGCCTGGCTAACATAGTGAAACCCTTTCTGTACTAAAAATACAAAAATTAGCTGGGTGAGGTGGCAGGCGCCTGTAATCCCAGCGACTCAGGAAGCTGAGGCAGGAGAATTGCATGAATCTGGCAGGTAGAGGTTGCAGTGAGCTGAGATCATGCCATTGCACTCCAGCATGGGCAAGAGTGTGAGACCCCATTTCAAAAACAGCAAAAAAAGAGACTGGGATGATAATCATATGCCAAAATGTTCACAGCGATCGTTCTTTGCTGATGGAATTATGGTGGCTTTATGTCTTCACATGGGTTTGTATTTTCCACATTTTATACAATGACTATGTATGACTTTATCAGAAGAAAACGTAGCGGCTGGGCGTGGTGGCTCATGCCTATAATCCCAGCACTTTGGGAGGCCGATGCAGGTGGATCACAAGGTCAGGAGTTGGAGAACAGCCTGGCTAACATGGTGAAACCTCATCTCTATCAAAAATACAAGAATTAGCTGGGCGTGGTGGCAGGTGCCTATAGTCCCAGCTACTTGGGAGGCTGAGCAAGAGTTGCTTGAACCCAGGAGGTGGAGGTTGCAGTGAGCTGAGATCATACCACGGCACTCCAGCCTGGGCAACAAAGTGATACTCTTGTCTCAAAGAAAAAAAAAAAAAAGAAAAAAGAAAAAAATGTAAGAACTCCAGATAATTCATAGATCAGCTTCATTCTGCTGAAAGTGAGCTGGCATTAATGTGCTATAAAGTATAAAGAAGGCCAGGCACGGTGGCTCACACCTGAAATCCCAGCACTTTGGGAGGCCAAAGTGGGTGGATCACTTAAGTCAGGAGTTTGAGACCAGCCTGGCCAACACGGTGAAACCCCATCTCTACTAAAAATCCCAAAACTAGCCGGCTTTGGTGGTGGGCACCTGGTCCCAGCTACTCACGGGGCTAAGGTGGGAGAATCACTTGAACTCTGGAGGCAGAGGTGGAAGTGAGCCGAGATTGTGCCACTGCACTCTAGCCTAGGCAAGAGAGAGACTGTTTCAAAATGTATGTATACTTATTTTATGCAGCCTCATTACAGCCAAACTAATCTAAAAAAAAAAAAAAAATCATACAAAACAGTAACTTTTTATCTCCATTAAGAATGGCAGGATGGAACTCTTGGTCCTGCCTCTGATAACTGGGAAGTTGTGTGGACCGCTCAGCCAGAGGCTACTCCATTTCTCTCCCTACCCCCTCTCTCTATCCCTATCTGTGTCTCTGTGTCACTCTGAGTCTCTCTGCCTGTACACGTGTGTGCATATGGGTCTCTCACACACACTCACCTGCTCAAGCTCTTCTTCAAATGCTCCATCACAAAGGCGGCCCCGCCTCTTGGCAAATGGATGACCTTCATGGGCCTCAGTGCCTGCACCAGACCCGTGCTCCAGAAGGCCTCCAGGCTCACCACCTCCCCTCTCAAACATCTGCCAGGCCTGCATCCAGAACACAGCCATGAGCCTTGTCAGCCTTGTTGACTCAGCTAGGGCCTCTGCCCACCGAGCCATGGATGACCACCACCACGTGGAAATCACGAAGACCTTCAGTCACTGATAACCGGCTGGGAGCTGGCGTCCACCCACAGAGGGCAGGGTGCAGAGGGAGCTCTGTTGGAGAGGAGAGGCTGTAAGGCTGAGCCTCAGCCTGAGCCTGGAGTGAAGGGGTGTGGGGTTTGCAGGCTGCTGTGAGACCAGGATGCTCAGGCCATGTGGGAGCGCTGGGGGTGTGGGGAGGTGTGAATGAACCGAGGGTCCGGGGCTGGACCCCGGGGTTACCCACCTTCCTTGCTGCCTCTTAGGGCGGGGCAGCCACAGCAGGGGCATTGGTGGAGCCGACTTGGGCACACACTTCAGGCAGGGAAGAGAGAGCTGGGTCCTTCAGGCCCAGCCTGAGGTCCAGGGCCTGTCCTTGGATACTTACTCAGCAGAGACGGGGAAGCTAAAAGGCACCGCACACCCAGCCCATCCCCAGCACCTCCCATGGGACTCAGACCTTCCTATTTCTGAAATATTCCCACAAACATCCCCATTTTAAGTTAGATGAACTCTAACCTCATGTACACCATCTACACGTTGGTTGAAAACGCGCATTGAACATGGTTTGTGAATACCTAGGCCTATAGAATTGCATGTTTGTTTTGCGACAGGGTCTCGCTCTGTCATCCAAGCTGGAGTGCAGTGGTGTGATCTCGGTTCACTGCAGTTTCTGCCTCCCAGGTTCAAGCAATTCTCCTGCCTCAGCCCCCGAGTAGCTGGGATTACAGGTGTGTGCCATCACACCGTGCTGTGTTTTTATTTTTACTGGAGATGGGGTTTCACCATGTTGGCAGGCTGATCTAGAACTCCTGGCCTCAAGTGATATGCCTGCCTCGGCAAAGAACACCCTTTACTTCAAAGTACCCAGGGAAAGCCCAGGCACAGCCTCCCGAGCCTGGCAACCCCTGCCAGCCTGTACTGAGGGTAGGTGTGTGTGTCCGCAGGTGGGAGAGCAGCCAGCACACCTCAGCCCTGCTCCCAGGGTGAACCCCACACACACCAGGGAGAGAACTCCTGGGCTTCGGGTTGCTCAGCCCCAGCACCACCTGCTCTCGTGCATGGACTCAACACCTACTGTGTGCAGGCCCTTCTCAGGGGTGGGAGGGAAGGTGGAGTCTCACCCTACAGAGCTTTCAGGACAGTTGAGAGTTTCCCAGGGCCTGTGGGAAGCCTAAACCAAAAACTCTCTCCCAGTGAGTGGGACTCCTCACTTTGAGGGATTTGGGTTCTTAGCAGAGCAGATGCAGAATGTGATCCCATGCCCACGCTTCATGGCTCTCGTGTTCCTCCTGCCAGCAGTCTCCACCAGGACCCCTGCTGCCCCTCAGAGCACCCCCCATCAGAGTATGCAGGGCCTCCTGAGCCCACTCAGGCTGGGAGGGCGCCCAGGCCTGCCTTTCCATACCTGCCTGCTCTCAAGGCTTAAGGTAACTTTCTCCATTTGTGCTAACAATTTCCATACATTTTTTTTTTTTTCCACGCTGGAGTGCAGTGGCACCATCTCGATCTTGGCTTACTGCAACCTCTGCCTCCTGGGTTCAAGTGATTCTCCTGCCTTACCATGGACCTCATGCCTGTGCTTAGTCCCTCTCTAGGCCTGGCGCTGTGCTCAGCACTGTCGTATGTGTGTGTGTGTGTGCGCACGCACGGGAATGTGTACAGACATCATGAGGTGTGGTCCCTGCTCTTTGGCAGCTTGCCTTGGGGCTGAAATGAACCATCACCTAAATCAAGGGATGGAAACACAAGGCCAGATGCACGGTGGCTCCGTGACCTGGCTTCACTCCACAACTACCTGGGGTTTCTAGTTGTGCAAATCCCAGGTCACACCCAGATTATGAGTCCAGTTTTCTACAGGTGGAGCCCAGGAAGGAGTATTTTTAACACGATGGTACTGCCCATTCACCCAGCCCAGCCAGTGGTCTCTGCGTACCCAGGAACTGCTGACACAGAGCTTGTGCTCCCCATAAAACGGGAGACAGACCCTTCACAGACGGGGGACGTGTAGCTTGGTCAGGACAGGGTGTTTCATACCAGCACAGACTGTATTCAGGTGACATTAAGGACAAGTTCCTGCAGGCTAGCTGCCTGGACAGGGCTGGGTGGGGGTAGAAGTTAGAGGGATCACAGAGGGGCTTCCTCCCGGCCGCCTCACCAGCTGCTTGATTTAGGGCTTGGCTCTGGGTCCCTTCTGGGTCTGATTCTGAACCACGGGACTGGTGTGGCCTGCAGGCTCCTCCTGCCACAAGCTGTTCATGGTGCAGGGGGAGAACAGTGTCCACAGTTCCCCGGACAGCAGCAGTGGATACCAGGCCCCCAGGAGTTGTTACTGAAGTTGCTGCTGGACAACTCGCCTTTCACTGAGCTCCACGTAGCACCCATGGTGATGGGAGCCGGGTGGAGAGAGTCTGCCAGCCTGCGCATCAGCTCCCAACTGGGAGGGGCAGAGGGAGGAGGGGGTGGGAGCCCCAGGCAGCAGGGCTCTGGGAGCACTGGGGCCCTGGGTTCCAGGGGTGTCTGGCAGGCCCCTCCTTACTCTACCTTGCTTAGCCTCTGGATGGAGATGCTGGCTGCAGTCGGGCTCTGCTCCTAAGGGCTGCAGACGTGGCGGGTGTGGGCTGCTGCCCCGTGGGGCCTCTGAACAGACCCCAGGGCCTCTGCCAATCATGACTCCTTGCTTTCAGCTGGACCCACAGGCCCTGCAGGACAGAGACTGGCAGCGTGCTGTCATCGCCATGAATGGGGTACGTGTCTATGAGATTCTCCTGGCACCCACATCCCCCAGAAGGGTAGGGTGGCCTCTGTTCATTTCAAATCGGTCAGAGGTAGCTGAGCCTCAGCCAGCATCTGACACGGAGCCTGGTTGGAGGAGGGAGGTTCCCTGAAGAGCAGAATCACCGTGCACGGGAATCGTCATTCACTGGCTGGGATGCAGTTGCCAGCCAGGCCCTGAGCATCCCTCCTCAAACTAAGGTCTCATGGCACCACCAGGACAGTGGGGCCTCCACTCGGGGACCTGGGGGCTGCCTGTAGAAACGGAGCCTTCTGATTTGTCTTTAGGTACCCCAGAAAAGTTTAGACCTTAAAAGCAATGACATACCCAAAAAAACCTGGGTATAAATGGTAATATATGATGATTCTTGCGTTTTTCTTACATTACTCTGTCTTTAATTTTTGTCACTAAGAAAGGGAAAGACAGGTACAGTGCATCTACAGTCTCAGCTACTCTGGAGGCTGAGCTGGAGAATCACTGGAGCCCAAGAGTTTGAGTATAGCCTGGGCAACATAGCAAGATCCTGTATCTAAAAAAAAAACCCAAGCAAGCAAGAGAAACAGCGGGGATTTTAGGAGGTGGTTCTGCAGAAGCCAGTCCTTTACACCATCTTCAACAATCTTGGCTCTTGCTGAAGTAGACTAGGGGATTCCCTGAGGGGCAGCCCTACCTCATGCTGAGACCTCTGCATGCCTTGGGGGTGGAAATATTTGATGAGACTCCCAGGGGCCCTTGGGATCTTGGGCTTTGAGGACCAGACAGATCAGAGGACTGTGCCCCTTCTCCCCTCTATAGATTGAAGTAAAGCTCTCGATCAAGTTCAACAGCAGGGAGTTCAGCTTGAAGAGGATGCCGTCCCGAAAACAGACAGGGGTCTTCGGAGTCAAGATTGCTGTGGTCACCAAGTGAGTGGGGAGGGGCTTGGGCTCATGCACTGAGGGTGCCTGTCCCTTGAGCTGTTTCTGCAGAGAGGAGCATGTGTGGGTCTCTCCTCTCTGTGCGTGGCCGCTGCGCGGTGAGGTCAGGCCCCAGGGAACACTTGGTGTGTTCAGCTACCTCCTGTGTTTACTCAACACCAGCTCAGGAATGTCCTTGCCGCCTTGCTTGGAAGCAGTAGGCTGGCTCCAGGAACTGCCCGAGTGCAGGGTTTTCTGCCCTCGCTTGGAATTTGTCACGGTCCCAGGTTCCTGTTGAATGGCCATAACCCCTGCCCCTTTGTCACAAGTCAGTTGCCAAGAGAAACTTGTTTGGTTTGAGAGCAGTTCTTGCAGACACAGACCACTTCCTCTGAGAATTCATTTGCTTCCCCAGGATGGAATCCGGCTGGGCCTCTGAACTTGCTGGTCATGTGGGCCGGGGCCTCCATCAATCATACCCTGCACTCCTTTGTGTGTGTAAACAGCACGCTCACCCCCAGCTGCACGGCAGCCACTTGCGTAGCACTCTGGGAGGGCTCTGGGCATGAGCAGCGAGGAGTCCAGCAGCAGCTCCCCCAAATAACCACTGCTAATGAGGGTGGCTTGAGAAGCAGCTTTGATGTGCTCCTAAACCCAGTTGCAAAACAGAACTAAAGGCCTCAGCACAGCGCTCACTTTGAAGTATTCTTACTCTAGGGTCCTGTGTGGCAGTGTTGGAATTGTTCATTGCTAGGACTCAGAGGAGTAAAGCACTTAGCAGCGCAGGACTTAGAGCACTGGTGCTGAGGCAACCCTTCATTCATTCCTCGGATGTGTGTTAAGACCCAGGCTCAGGGCAGGGCTCAGGGATTCTCCTCTCACACAGCACGCGGGTGGCAGGACCAACACCAGGTCTGATCTCCCAGCTAGGGGCACAGACTGCTAACCCCAGGCCTGGAATCTGTCAGATGCCCTTTCTGTGCTGACTTTAGAGAGGCCTCCTGACCTTCCCGCAAAGATCATGTATAGCGACTCACAGGGGTCTGGCTGCCTGAAAAGTTCCTGAGAAAGCACATGCAATGAGGACAGAGCTTGCAGAGGGAGCACAGGCATGCACAAGGCTCTGTGTGCAGCCCCAGACCTGGGTACCTTCGTTACCATCCTCACCTCACCTCCGGGTGTGCAGATAGAAGGCAGCCTTCGACGTCAGTGTCGGCCTGCACAGGACGGGATGGAGGTGTGGGTGGTGGTGTCCGTGATGATATCTCAGAGCACTCCATGGCCCTGGTATGTCACATCTTTCTTTTCGTCTTTTCTTCATTTACTGTTTTATTTTTTTTTTAGAAAAACAAGAGTTGTAGAAAAAGCTTGTAGAGAAGCCAGTTTTTACACCATCGTACCCACTCATGCCACTTGCTGGGGTGAACCAGGGGCTTCTGTGGGGCCTTGGCCTTCCTGCCTTGGGGGTGGACAGGAGGTGGAAGCCCAGGACTCAGTGCGGTCTGTCCACTGCCCTGTGTGAGGATGTGGCGGGCAGAGGACACTGATGGGACCCAGCTCACACTGGGGCTGCAGCATTTCTGCCTCCATCTCACCAACCCTCACAGGCTTTGAAGGACCCGTACCTGCCTCAAATGCCAGAGGAGGACACAGAGGCCCCAGAGGGTCCTTCCCAGCATCTTCAAAGCAACAGGATTTTGTGCCTGCAGACCCTTCTTTGCAGCACTCACCACCAACCCTGACCAGGACCCCTAGAATGCTCAGCACCCTGGGAGGGCCTGTGGTAGTTTCAGCTCCCTTTGGGGGTCCACGATAGACCTGGCCTGTGGTGAGGACGTAAGCACCAGTGGCCCATTGGGTCCAAAGGAAGACACCGGTTCAAACACTGAAACCAGATTCTCCACAGCCTTCCTGCCATCAGAAGACACTGGTGCAGGGGTGGTTGCTACGTACAGGGCAGAGCCACCCGATTCCCACACAGGCGCTGTGTCCTGCTGTGCTGGCCTCCTCCTGGCCGTCACCTCGGAACAAGCAGGGGAGAGGAATGGGAATGCCCACGCACCCCCATCAACTCTGCAGACTCAGAACCACGCACAGCTCTTGGGAGGGGTCAGATGAGCTGCTCAAAGTCTGGGAGGGACCCGCACAGCGGTCAGCGTGGCAGGGACGGTGCTTTAACCGAGGCAGAGATGGTGGGAGACTCACTTGGGATCCTGAAGGAGGCCGCTGCATTTCCGTGCTCTTTCCAGATAACAAGGACGTGTCGGTGATGATGAGTGAGATGGACGTGAACGCCATCGCAGGCACGCTGAAGCTGTACTTCCGTGAGCTGCCGGAGCTCCTCTTCACTGACGAGTTCTACCCCAACTTCGCCGAGGGCATCGGTGAGCACTGGAGCAGCAGCCGTAACTCCACTGAGGGGGGCAGTCTCGTTGGGGCACGGACCGCTGTTGCTTTGGCAGAGAGAGACGATGCCCACTGGGGAGAGGTTGTTCTGACTCTGCAGGTGGGACAGGGACAGACGGCCACCAGGGTGACCTGGCTGGTCTTCCTTTGCTGTGCTGAGCCCTGGGACAGGGAGGACTCCCACCACACACAACCTGGGACTGGGTTCTTACCTGTGGCCACCGCTCTGGCACGAGCCCCTCAGTCTCGGGTGGTTTCTGCTTGGTTTGGGGTTTAGTGTTGCTGCTGAGTCCAGCCTTTCCACCATCTCCGCATGGGGCCATGGGTGTTGTCAGCCACCTCCCGCCTTGGCCTCAGTAGCTCAGCCAGCTTACAGGGGACCTGCCCTGGGCTGTAGATGGGCGTGCAGCCTGGGTCCTACTTGGGTACTAAGTGCAGGTTGAGTAGACCTGGCTACATCCACTGGGCCACAGGTTACTCTCAGCAATGCCCACATCAGCCGTCAGCCTCCCCAGGAGAGCAAGGCTCACACAACAAAGGCTGCCTGTGGCCAGTGAGGAGGCTGAGCCCAGCCAGAATCTTTCTCGAACTCCGGGGATGTGGCTCTGCTCATGAGCTGCCTGGTCAGCTCTCTCGGGATGAGAGGGGCTTGTCACACGGACTCCTGCCTGCAGTGTGACCCTTCTCAGCTTCTCTCAACAGTCCTGCCTGGGGAGTGTCACCGCCACCATGACCATTTCCCTGACACTGCGAGGGTGTGGGGACGTCCTGGGTAGAGACAGACCCGTGGCAGCAGCAGGCTCAGGGGCGCCCCGCACTGGTGGGCTGGGGACCTGGCAGAGACCACACCAAGGGTTGGACAAGGGGAAGAGCCTCCAGCCTGGCCTCTCCGCAGGCCTCAGCCGCCCCTCCCACAGGCAGAAGGGTCCACACTGGGTTCTGCCCTCGCTGCAAGAGCTGTGAGTGCCGCATGCTGTTCTGCCCAATCTGGTGTCTGCAGGCGAGGCGAGGGTTGCCGCTGGCCTGTTTCTTTTTTTAGTAGAGATGGAGTTTCTACTAAATAAAGCCACCACATTATTTAAATATAGCAAGAGGCTGGGCACGGTGGCTCACACCTGTAATCTTTGAGAGGACGAGGCAGGCAGATCACCTGAGGTCAAGAGTTGGAGACCAGTCTGGCCAACATGGTAAAACACTGTCTCTACAAACAAATTGAAAAAATTATCCCTGCGTGGTGGCACGTGCCTGTAGTCCAAGTTACTTGGGAGGCTGAGACATGAGAATCCCTTAATCCCCAGAGGCAGAGGCTGCAGTGAGCTGAGATAGCGCCACTGCACACTAGGCTGGGCGACAGAAACCGACCTTGTCCCTAAATAAAAAATGTGGCCGGGCGTGGTGGCTGATGCCTGTAACCCCAGCACTTTGGGAGGCCGAGGTGGGTAGATCACGAGGTCAAGAGTTCGAGACCAGCCTGGCCAACATGATAAAACTCTGTCTCTACAAAAAATGAAAAAATTGTCCCTGTGTGGTGGCAGGAGCCTGTAGTCCCAGCTACTTGGGAGGCTGAGGTATGAGAATTGCTTGAACTGCGGCGGCAGAGGCTGCTGAGCTGAGATGGCGCCACTGCACTCCAGCCTGGCCGACAGAGTGAGACCATCTCTAAATAAATAAAAAGATAAATGTGACCAGGTACGGTGCCTTATGCCTGTAATCCCAACACTTTGGGAGGCTGAGGCGGGTGGATTATGAGGTCAGGAGTTCGAGACCAGCCTGGTCAAGACAGAGAAACCCCATTTCTACTAAAAATACAATTAGGTGCGGTGGCCGGCATTTGTAATCCCAGCTACTCAGAACACTTGACGCAGGAGAATTGCTTGAACCTGAGAGGTGGAGGTTGCAGTGAGTGGAGATTGTGCCACTGCACTCTAGCCTGGGTGACAGAGCAAGACTCTGTCTCAAATAAATAAATACGGAGCAAGACTCCATCTCAAATACATAAATGGACGCCTGTAATCTTAGCACTTTGGGAGGCTAAGACAGGTCGATCACCTGAGGTCAGAAGTTTGAAACCAGCTCCAGCAACATGACAAAACCCTATCTCTACTAAAAATACAAAAATTAGCTAGGTATTGTGATGTGCACCCGTAATCCCAGCTACTTAGGAGGCTGAGGCAGGAGAATTACTTGAACCCAGGTGGTGGAGGTTGCAGTGAGCCCAGATTACGCCACTGAACTTCAGCCTGGGAGACACAGCCGAGACTCCCATCTCAAAAGAAATCAAGAAATAAAATACAAAATAAAAAAATAAATGTAGTAAGATGACAGTCATGCCGCAGAAGTATGCTAGTCCTATCCATGTAGTGAAGGCTAATTTCATAAACAAATGTCACAAGAACTTTTATACCCACCCCTGAAAGAAAGCCCCGATTGCCTTCCAAAGAAGCAGTACATGGACTGACGCATGGGCTGTCCCAAACAGCTCTGGAAAAATAAACAGAAAATGACACACTAAGCCCTTGAGGCCAAAATGCCCTTCCCCAGAGCAGCTGCCAGAACACAGGAAGCAGGATCGGGTTGGGGGTCACTTCTGGGTGAGGGGGAGAACAGTCAGACCCGGGGCAGGGGTGTTGGATCCTGGTCGGCCTCACTGGAACAGAAGAGAGCTGCTTCGTGATGCTCAGCTGACTGGCAGAGCCTTGCATAACCCAAGTTCTCACAGTACAGAGAGGCCAGCCAGTGCGGGGACAAAGACAGCACGCACTGAAATATTTTCCTGGAAGACGGGGCCCAGTTGTATCTCTCAAATGGGACCAGATTAGAAGGAAGACCAGCTGCTTTGGGCAACCGAGGCCACTTCTGGATGAGCTCCCAAACTAGACGGTGTCGAGGGCCCTGGACCTGGCAGCTGGGCTGGACATCACATGACCCTGTATTTCAGGAAACGGCATCTCAGCGCTTGTCTGGCGGGTTCTCCGAAAGAACCATCCACAGGCCATTTTTCCATTCCCCTCCTATGCACAGACTGGGCAGGGCTTGACCAGAATTCTCCCCCTTAGGGTTTTCAGTCACTGCCAAAACTTGAGCCCAGCAGTGAGGATGTGATGTTAAAATGTGACTCTGTGCCAGGCAGTAGCTCATCCTTGTCAATTCAGCTAGTGCTTTTGGGAGGCTGAGCTGGGAGGATCAATTGAGGTCAACAGTTCAAGGCCAACCTGAGGAACATAGATCTCTACAAAGAAATAAAAATAAAAACTAGCCTGCTCTGGTGACATGCACCTGTAGTCTCTGGTACTCAGAAGACTGAGGTGCCTTCAGCTCAGGAGTTCAAAGCTGCAGCTCTGATGGTGCCACTGTATTCCAACGCGAAAGACAGAGTGAGACCATGTCGTGAAAAAAGGAACAAACTAGGCATAAAAGAAACATACCTGAAAATGGCCGGACTGGCCCCAGTGCCTCACGCCTGTAATCCCAACACTTTGGGAGGCTGAGGTGGGTGGATCACCTGAGGTCAAGAATTTGAGACCAGTCTGGCCAACATGGTGAAACCCCATCTCTACTAGAAGTACAAAAATTAGCTGTGCGTGGTGGTGGGCACCTGTAATCCCAGCTATTCGGGAGGCTGAGGCAGGAGAATCACTTGAACCCAAGAGAGGGAGGTAGCAGTGAGCCAAGATCATGCCATTGCACTCCAGCCTTGGTGGCAAGAGCCAGATTCCATTTCAAAAAACAAAAATAAATAACAGCAAAAAACCCCCAACATACCTGAAAATAATAAAAGCTGTATATGACAAAGCCATAGATAACCTACTACAGAATTGGGAAAAGTTGAAAGCATTTTCTCTGTAAACAGGAACAAGATGAGGATGCCCGTTCTCACCACTCCTATTCGACATCGCACAATCAGGCAAGAGAACACAATAAAAGGCATCCACATTGGAAAAGAAGACATCAAATTATCCTTGTCTGATGAAGATGTGATCTTGGATTTAGAAACATGTAAAGGCTCCACCAGAAAACTCCTAGACCTGATAAATAAATTAATACAGCCATTTGCAGAATATAGAATCAACAACAACAACAAGAATCAGCAGCATTTCTATACACCAATAATGGTCTGGTTGGGAAAGAAATTAAGAAGGCGATCCCATTTACAATAGCAACAAAATGGAAAAACGTATGCCACAGAAGAAATTTTACCAAGGAGGTGAAAGATTTCTAGAAGGAAAACTACAAAACACTGAGAAAATGTTTAAGAGGAGAGAAAGAAATGGACAATCATTTCATGCTCATGGTAGGAATTCATAGCATCAAAATGACCACACTGCCCCAAGCGTCTAGAGATTTAATACAACCCCTACCAAAATACCAATGTCACCACTCACAGAATTGGAAAGTCCTGAAATTCACAAAAAAGGACTAAAAAAAAAAAGAGCTCAAAGACCCAAAGTCATCCTCAGCAAAAACAGCAAAACTAGAGGCATCCCATTTCACTGCAAATTACAACCACAAAATGTTTGACAAGTACATAGTTACCAAAATGGTATAATCCTAGCGTAAAACTAGACACTTAGATCAACGGGACAGATGAGAGAGCCCAGAAACACAGCCACATGTTCACAGCCAGTTGATCTTTGACAGAGCCGACAGAAACACACACTGGGGAAAGGACACCCTCTTCAATGAATGGTACTGGGAGGGTTGGGCAGCCACATGCAGAAGAACGAACCTGGACGCTTATCTCTCAGCATGTACAAAAATCACCTCGAGAGAGATCCAAGACTTGAATGTAAGATGCGAAACTACAAGAATATTAGAAGGAAATCTAAAGAAAACTCTCCTGGACTTCACTCTAGGCAAGGAATTTATGACGGGCTCAAAAGCCCAACATGGAGAAGGATGAGCTGGACGATGGCCCATTGGACCTGTGTCCAGCAGAACCCCTGACAGCGCACGAGGGAGCCTTAAGAGGCCAGGTTCCTCCTTGCTGTGCCCACGCGGGAAGTGGGGTTGCTTGGGTCAGAGGCCGGCCCAGACTTGCACGTGCAGCCTGCCTCGTTTGCTGTGGCACTGGGTCCCCGACTTGCAATTGGGGGTGTCTGCTTAAATGGTCCCCCAGGGATGTGATGGAAAGTAAAGACCAAAATGCCACCCAACAGAGTTACTCCCTGTGCCAGTTCCTGCAGTCACCAAGGATGTGCTCAGCCTGGGGGGCCCCTGGTGTTCAGGCCCCCTCATGCCCCATTGTCATGGGTGGTGCTCGGGGCCTTTCTCTTTACCGATTTTCTTCTGAGGGAACTCAGAGCTGGGGCTGGCTCTCTGCTCCCAAAGCCCGTGGGCGTGGCTGCAGGGCTGGAACTGGCTCCAGAAGTGCCAGGCCTTGGGCTTCTCATGCTGCCCTCCATGCTTGTAGCTGGCAAGGGGGCAGGAATCAGTGAGGTGACCTGAGTCCTGGGAGTGGGAAGAGGTGGCAGAAAGGGGATCTGAGTAGAACAGGGAGCCTGGTGGTCTGTGCTTCTTCCCAGACACAGGAGCTGTAGAGGGAGCCTCTGCAGCAAAAGCTAGGGGGACCAGTGGGCCCCGGGAGTCTTGGGACTTGTCTCTCTCCTGCTGTGCATCCATGCTCAGTGCTTCAGAAACAGCAGGGAGACCACAAGTCCCAGTTTCAAGTAAGGACAAAGTGTAGGAAGGCCGTGAGGGTCTGCAGTCCCAGATGGCCTTGGCCTCACCCCGCAGTACACTGTTGATGCACTGGAACGCCGCCTCCTTCTCCAGGTCCAGGTCTTCAGCAGTGACCCGGAACCCCAGCTCTAAGGGAGGTGGCAGCATCAGAGGCTCCCCTTGCCTGCGTGGCAGCAGGGGAAACTTGCGTCTACAGGGCCTAGAGGCCTGGGATCTGGGGGAGCCATTCCTGGGGGCGAGTGTCTGCCCTGGTGTTGTATCTGCCACCTTTTCACACTGGGTGTGACCCGAAGGGACAGCCTGAGGCCTGTCCTCACTCACTGTCTTTGAGGAACTGAGGATCAACTGACAGTGGGATGAGGCTGGCCCCCTCCTCCTCTTTAGCCACGGGAAGCCTCCCATGGAGCTGTAGGAGCTCGAGATAGCATTTCGTTTGGTGCACGAGCCCGTCCAGGAGGTCTGGGCATGGAGGTCTCTCTGCAGTGGCCCAGGCCTGGGCACAAAAGGAGAGAGACCTCCATTGTCCCGCAGGGGCCGAAATGCAGACCGTGCATCCCTGGTGACCAAGGGGACCCTTCTCTTATCAGGGTTCTCTTGGACTCTGGGGTCCTTGTCCTGCTCAGGCATCCCTGCCCCGCTCTCCTTAAGGTCCCCTCAACACGATCTTCCCTGGACACGAGTCTGGGGACAGCTGGGTGTTGTACGTCCCAAAGGGGTGACTCCCTGCTCCTGGGCCCCACACAGATTCCTTGTGCTCAGTGCAGGGGCGGAGCTGCAGGACGCCCTGGAATTTGGAGCACACAGCACTGGCTTGCTGTGGTACCTGTACAATCAAATTGAAGGCAAGATCACCAGGAAGGAACGGAGGGCTTGAAGGATCACGGAAAACCTTCTTGGAGTTGTCTTGACACCACTGATGCCAAGTGTCTGGATGCTTGTAGGATGGCCTGCCACTCCGTCCAGAGACAGGAGCAACGGGGAGATCCCACAAACAAAGTGAACTGGGGGATGGGCTGAACGGGCTCCAGGCAACTGAGCCCTACTGGCAGGTCCTCAGCCGCAGGCCGGGACAGGAATAAGGGGCACAGAGAGCCCAGGTAACTGGTTCTGGGAGCAGTGGGGTACGGTTGGATGCTCGAATTCTCCAGAGCTGAGCTCTGAGCGTCCTCATGAAGCTGCCAACTCAGTCAAAGCCTAAAGCAAGCAGTTTCTTCTGTTGCTGGGCAATGCACCTTTTAAACCTGAGGGAGTTGGGTGTGTGTACAAAGAACAGGTGCGAATGACAGAGCGACCTTAACGGATTAGCGCAATTGTGCAAGGCACCTGCTGGCAATGGCAGGAGGCTGGACGGTTGTGGGGGGGGGGGGGGGGGGGGAGGGGGGGGGCACAATAAGTACTGGAAGGAGAGACGAGCGCACAAAGGTCACAGGAAAAACAGGCGCCCACAATGACTGCAGATGCCCCCCCACCCCCCGTGGATCACTGAAGGTGTTATATCCAATTCTCCTAGATCTCCAGATCTAATAGGCAGGATATAAGCCAAGAGCTGTCAACCTCAGCACTACTGAGATTTGGGGATGGCTAATTCTTCAGAGGAGGAGGGTTGTACATGGTAGGATGTTTAGCAGTGTCCCTAGCCTCAACACACCAGGGGTCCTAGTCCATATTATGCAAAATACGCTTTAGTCCCTGTGCGAGCTCTCCTTCAGTTATTCCCTGGAGTCAGGCCTGGCTTGCTGGATTCATTCCTTTGGTGACTCCTTCCACAACAGTCCTCAGAGGCCTCATGGGTGGAGGTTGTGCTGGGAGCCAGGGCCTCAGAGATCAATCAAACTTCATTCCTTCCCCCCGTGCCCAGGAGTTGCACTCAGGCTCAGGCGCAAGGGGACAAACAGGTACAGACCTTTGTGCTTTAGGGGGCACAAGCTCCCACGGAGGACTGCTAGCTACTGTGATGCCCTTTGGTCCAATTACGCTCTGGTGCAGAACTTTCTTCCTGCTCTGATTTAAGTAAAGTCACTCCCCTCAGGCAGGGTCAGGGACCTATCAGTCTTTTCCGACTGTCACACCCCTTCCTGGGGCAGAAACTCTGTGCTATGGCCTGGGAGCTGTGTGAGTTTGGGTTGCTCCGTCCTTCAGCAAATGACTTCTGTGAATGTTTTCTGTACAGTAAGAGCTGTCCTCTAATCAAAAGAGCCAGGTCTCACTGAAGGAGGACTTGATGTCAAAGCTGAGGAGAAAAAAAATACAAGATGAACGCAAAATATCCTGTTATACAGAGGAAAACAGGTGCTCACTAAAAGATGGAGCAAGCTGGAAGGACACAGGAGCCCATCTGAAGGAGTTCCCAATGACCAGAACTGAAACCATCCTAGCTAGAAAGTGAGTATTGATAGTATTAAATTAGAAGCCATATAATAAAGTAAGTATCAGCAAGTCTATACAGATATAAATAACTGAATGAATAAACAAGTAGAAGAAGGGACCATTCATCCTTACAGAAGATTTCCAACGGATAAATGTAGAAAGACTGAGGGAAATAGAGAATCACATTGAAGCAAGAAATACAGGAATCACTGTTGGAGACAACAATCTTCCGAGGAGGCTAAAATCTCTATGCAGAATTCTAAGATGCAGGATATTGACATAACCTCAACATAGTGTCTCCAAAGTATGCCTCACCTATTAAAGTTAACACCAGCGGGCATGGTGGCTCACACCTGTAATCCTAGCACTTTGGGAGGCCAAGGCTGGTGGATCACCTGAGGTCAGGAGTTCGAAACTAGCCTGACCAACATGGCAAAACTCAGTTTCTACCAAAAATACAAAAATTAGCTGGGCATGGTGATGCACACCTGTAATCCCAGCTACTTGGGAGGCTGAGGCAGGGGAATTGCTTGAACCTGGAAGGCAGAGGTTACAGTGAGCCAAGATCCCACCAATGCCCTCCAGCCTGGGCAACAAAAGGGAAATCTCATCTCAAAAAAGAATAAAAGAAACTGTGGTATATACACACAGTGGAATATTATTCAGCCACAAAAAAATAGCAACGTTCTGCCATTTGTAGCAACATGGATGGAACTGGAGAACAGGATGTTAAATGAAATCAACCAGGCACCACATGTTCCCACTCATACCTGGGAGCTAAAATCATTGATTTCATAAAGGGAGACAGTAGAACAGTGCTTAGCAGAGGCTGGGGAGGGCTGGAGAAGGGATAGGGAGAGACTGTTCAGTGTGTACAAAGCTACAATCAGGAGGAAAAAGTGCAGGTGTTCTGTTGGAGACTGCAGTTAACAATAGTGTATATTTCAAAACAGCTAGAAAAGAGTTTTGAGCGTTCTAACCACAAATAATAAATGTGTGAGGTGATAGACATGCTAACTGCCCTAATTTGGCTGTCTTTTTGTTTTGTTCTGTTAGGTTTTTGAGAGTTGGAGTTTTGCTCTTGTGGCTCAGGCTGGTTGCAATGGCACGACCTCTGTCAGGGCAACCTCCGCCTCCTGGGTTCCAGCAATTCTCCTGCCTCAGCCTCTGAGTAGCTGGGATTGCAGGCATGCACCACCATGCCTGGCTAATTTTTGTATTTTTAGTAGAGACGGGGTTTCACCATGTTGACCAGGCTGGTCTCAAATTCCTGACCTCATGAGATCCGCCTGCCTCGGCCTCCCAAAGTGCTGGGATTACAGGTTCAGCCACCGCGCCCAGCTGATTTGTCTGTTACATAGTGTATGCATGCATCAAAGCATCCCTCTCTACATCAGAAATACAGGCAATTATTATGTGTCTGTTAAAAACAAACAAGAATTTTGATCTAACCAGGTGCTGGAAAAGATGTGGATAAACAGGATCATTCACATACTCCTAGGAAGAGGCGTAAAATAATACAATTGCTTGGAAAACTATTTGCCATCGTCTTACAAAAGTTATACATTCACTCAACTTCAACTCAAAAAATCCAAGAGAGATTCTTGTGCAGGTCTTGGAGACATGTGTAACAATGTGCATAGCAACACTGTCTGTGATAGAAAAAACATGTGAAGAACTTAGGTGCTCAACCCGACGGGCAGAGCACAGGTGCCTAAGCTGTAGGACACTTAAGCAATGGGGAGGCCACTCACTCAACTCATCAGGGAAAACTGGGTAATGACAGCACATGTCAGGACATGGTGAGTCTCAGACACAAGGTTGAATCAAAAAAGCAATTCTTCAAAGACAATAGATAACATTATTTCTTTTTACAGATTCAAACTATAAATGGAAATGGAACTTGATGTTGTTTATGGATCAATATATATGTGAGTAATAAAACTCCTTAAATAGATCATGAAAATCACAAAACCATGCAATTTCCTCTGAGGGGAAGGCCGGAGAATGAGGCAGACAGCTTATCACTGCCAGCAATGTTCTAGTTTGGAGGTGAAGGAGTTTTGTAAGTGTTTATGTTACTATTCATCAGTTAATGAATGAATTGGACCTTGGAATCAAGGCCAGTGGTCTGAGGAAAGCAGCCATGGTCCAGCACAGGCCTGAGGGAACCATTCTCACCGCCCACAGCATAGGCAGAGCCTCTATGGTAGGTAATAGATCTGAATCCCAAACCACTTCACAATCTTCCCCCAGCAACACTCTATTTTGATTGACCCTTAAAGGCGGAAAAGCCTTCCCAAAGCTCAGACAGGCATGTCTTCTAGTGAGAACCACAAAAGCCAAGCCAAGTTTGGGTACTGTAGACACTACCCTCTAGTGAAATATATGAGGACTATCCAGGTAGAAATAAGCTGAAACAAGCTCCCCAAGCAGTGTACCAAGTATATAAAAATGAGCAAGCATTAAACAGCAAACAATAAAAAAAATGAGAACCACAAGTCATATGGATAGATCAGTGTTCCCATCTATGGGCGGGCCACCTACTGAAAGTGGCACAGGATCCAAATACATTCTAAACATTGTATGAAGACTTAAATTTTTCAGAGAAAGAAACCATGAAAGCCCCAAAGTGTGGCTTCAATATCATTACTCAGCTAATATCTGCTCTCTGGCTTCAGCTCTGGCCTCAGCCTTTGGAAGGCCAATTACAAACAAAATGCCCACTTAGTGTCATTTCTGGGGTCTCTGCACTTGCATATGGTCAAGTGATCATTTTGGTTACTGCCGCATCTAACCAGCATAGCAAAGAGGGAGGTCACTTGTATTAACTCTTAACATTGAACATACAGTTGCAAATATTCTACACATAGCTTGGGAAATCTCACATACTTTATATTTTGAGGTATAAAAAGTTTGTAATGCACAGGTATGATGCTGCAATAATGAATAGTTTGGATCATTAATGTTATGTATAAGACGGCTAAAAACCTTTAAAAAGAAGAAATTGAAAATTTATACATATGAAAAAGAGAATAAACTTGCCAAATAGTCTAGGAAGAATATTCTATTCTTTTTGGGTTAACAACTATCAATTAAATTAAATTAACAACTATTAATTCAATTTTAAAAATTCAGTTAAGAGTCTATCAATTCTATGTTTTGTAAAATTCTTTGGTACATTCATATTTGTCATATTAAAGTAAATAATCTTTTCACAATTGTATTTGAGTTTTAATTATTCAATTACAACTAAGCCATGAGTCTTCCAAGAAAAAAATCCTATTTTGCAAAATTCTTCGCATCTTGTAAAGATGAATTAAAACCAGAATGTTGATTTTACCACATCAAATTATGATAGAAAAATTCCAAACATATATACTACAACATCAACAATAAATTATCATTCAGTCTAGATACAATAAAACATATTTAAAAGCTGGAACAAAGGAAGAAATGTTTTAGAGAAAAGCAAAGTACCCAAAACAGTTTGATCTCACCAACCAAACTTCAGAAATCATAGACTACACAAATGCCTGCGGCACATGCTCTTCATCATGTCCAGTCCATTTACAGGGAATGAAAACTGTTGTCCAAATGACCACTTGAGATGATCACAATTCAACAGTGGAAGATGAAATGCTCAACTTTTGAGAGTTGACCAAACGACGAATCATAGGAACAGCATTACCTTTGGAAAACATGTTCCTAAAGATAATTTTCCTGAATTATATTCTGTCACGGACCATGGATCAGAAAAATGGTAGCTTTAAGTGTGCTGTTTCTAAATCATGTATTTCAGATATTTGGACAGGCAGAACTAAGCACAGCAGAGTCTTTTTAACTTAACATCATGATGAATTAATGATGAATTCAGTGAGGATTCTCTGCTGGAAAATCTGATTGAAGAAATAGCTACAGACTGGAAAGCCAGTTTTTAAAATGTCAGTGTCATACGATTTTCATCAACAGTAGAACAAAGAAGATGAAGGCTAAGAATGGGTTAAGAATAGCCAACACACCAGGCATGGTGGCTCACAACTGTAATCCCAGAACTTTGGGAGGCCAAGACAGGAGAATCACTTGAGTCCAGGATTTCAAGACCAGTCTGGACAACACAGTGAGACCTCATCTCTTATAAATTAAAAAAATAAAAAAAAATAGCAAGCAGCCAGGCGTGGTGGCTCATGCCTGTAATCTTAGCATTTTGGGAGGCTGAGGTGGGAGGATTGAGCCCAGGAATTCAAGAGCAGCCTGGGCAATGTGGCAAAACCCCATCTTAAAAAAAAAAAAGAATAGCAAACAGAGTTGGAGGCTTCATGAGCATGCAGCCTGTGTCATGGCCCAGGGCCCTGGCTCAGAAGAGTCCCTGGCTTCCTTTAATGCTCTCCTGTTCCCAATTTGAAATTCTTAATAATTTTTTTAATCAAAGGCTCTGCGTTCTTATTGCCATGGGACTCACAAACTATGTATGTTTGTCCTGTGGACGGTGATTTGTTCACATTCCTCAGATCGGTGTTCAGGAATTCACTGTGGCACAGCAGAAGGTAAGAAATTTTGGCCAAAGAAAAAAAGCCAGTTGCATCATCCTTCATCAGTCAAGACATCTGACAGCAAAGAGCCTCTAGAGTTGCCTTGTCAGGTACTTTTGCAACATGTTCAAACACTACAGAATAGCAGCCATCATATGCTTAAAAGGCTACTTAAACAATAACCACTACAAAAGTCTTAATTCTATAGTTTGCAGAACTTAGTACCTGTGATCTATCCACCAGAACCTAGCAAGGAAGTAACTGAACTAAAAGTCATCTTGAGAATCCAAATATTTCTCATGTGATACCTGCCACAGAGACCCTCCTAGCCTTCAATTCCAGTGGAGATGCTGAAATTCAAGTGCATTTAAGGAAAACTGAGAGGCAGATGGCCTCAACTGTTACTGTATCTTAACACCCAGCCCTTTAGTGTTATGTGAAAAGTTGCCAAAATGTAGGCAGATGCCATTACCTATAGAAATGTAAGTTCGTGTAAAATCTTTTCTGAATGCATGGTCATTTTCAGTGTGTTTTCACAACTAATGGATACTAAAAGTGCAATTATCTTGAGGAGAGGTCCTGAATCTTTTTGTTCTGTTTTGCTAAAACACTAGGAACCACTTGTCTAACAGTCTTGCTACTTCAAAGGCAGGTCCTGGGACCAGCAGCATCGGTATTATTTGGGAGCTTATTAAAAAGGCAAACTGTTAGGCCCCACTACAGATCTGCTGACCTGGCTTGGGAGCAGAGAGAGAAATAAACTAGCGGCCTCCCAAAGTGCTGGGATTACAGGTGTGAGCCACCGTGCCTGGCCTACTGTCTATTGACTTTTGACAAAGGCACGAAGAACACACCAAGGGGAAAGAACAGTCTATTCAATAAATGGTGCTTGGAAAAGTGGCTATTCATACGCAGAAAATAAAATTAGAGCCTTATCGTATACCATGCCCAAAAATCAACCCAAAATGGATCAAAGACTTAAACATTAGGCCTGAAACTGTAAAATTACTATAAGAAAGCACAGAGGAAAAGCTCCATGACACTGATCTGGGCAACAACTTTTTGGGTATGTCCCCAAAAGCACAGGCAACAAAAGCAAAAATAAAAACAGGATGGCATCAAACTAAAAAGCTTCTGCACAGTAAAAGGAAAAAGTAATGAAGGAGACAACCCACATCGTGAGAATAAGTATTTGCAAACCACACATTAGATAAGGGGCTAATATCTAAAATATATAAGGAACTTAACTCAACAGCAAAAGAACAAATAAGCCAATATAAGAATGAACAAAGGAACCAAATACATTTTTCCAAAGTAGAAACATACAAACAGCCAACAGGTTCATGAAAAAATGCTACCTGGGAGCAGTGACGTCAGTATTATCTGGAAGTTTGTTCAAAAGGCAAAATATCAGGCCCCACTGCAGACCCACTTACCTGAAAGCTGCATTTTGACAAGATTCCCAGGTGATCCATATGCACGTTAAAGTCTGAGATGCTTACTATACACAGCAAGTACTGAAGAAGCTCTGGGGCCCAGAACTGACTGGTAGCAACCTAAATCTTTAGGAAAATGCAAACTAAAGCCACAGTGACATAACACCTCCCTCTCATTACAACAGGTTTTATGAAAAAGATGGAAGGTTAAGTGTTGGCCAGGATGTGGAGAAAGGGGAACCCTAGTACACTGCCGGTGTATAGTACAGCTGCGATGGAAAATGGCATGGACGTTCCTCAAAACACTAAACATAGAACTACCGTGTGAGCCAGCAATCCCATTTCTGAGAATATATCCAAGGGAACTGAAATCAGTGTGTTCAGGGATATCTGCACTCCCATGTTACCTGCGGCCCCATTTACAGGAACCAAGATGTGGAATCTGCCTAAGTTAATCAGCCTAAGATGAATGCATACAGAAAAGGCAGTGCACATGTACGATGACATACTATTCAGTCTTTTTTTTTTTTTTTTTTGAGACGGAGTCTCACTCTGTCGCCCAGGCTGGAGTGCAGTGGCCAGATCTCAGCTCACTGCAAGCTCCGCCTCCCGGGTTTATGCCATTCTCCTGCCTCGGCCTCCCGAGTAGCTGGGACTACAGGTGCCCGCCACCTCGCCCGGCTAGTTTTTTGTATTTTTTAGTGGAGACAGGGTTTCACCATGTTAGCCCATGTTAGGATGGTCTCGATCTCCTGACCTTGTGATCCGCCTGTCTCGGCCTCCCAAAGTGCTGGGATTACAGGCTTGAGCCACCGCGCCCGGCAACTATTCAGTCTTAAAAAGAACAAAACTTGGCTGGGCGCAGTGGCTCACACCTGTAATCCCAGCACTTTGGGAGGCCGAGGCAGTCAGATCACCTGAGGTTGGCAGTTTGGGACCAGCCTGACCAATATGGTGAACCCCCCTCAAAAAAAAAAAAAAAAAAAAAAAAAAATTAGCCGAGAGTAGTGGCACGTGTCTGTAATCCCAGCTACTCAGGAGACTGAAGCAGAACTGCTTGAACCCAGGAGGCAGAGGTTGTGGTGAGCTGACATCATGCCATTGCGCTCCAGCCTGGGCAAAAAGAGCGAAACTCTATTTAAAAAAAAAAAAAAAAAACACCAAAAAAACCTCTGTCATTGGGAATGACATGCATAAATCTAGAGGACATACTGCTAAATGAAATACAAATACCACAGAGAGACAAATACCACAAAATCTCACATGCATGTGGAATCTTTTAAAAGCTGAATTTGGGCCAGGTGCCCTGGCTCATGCTGGTAATCCCAGCACTTTGAGAAGCTGAGGCAGGTGGATCACTTGAGGTCAGGAGTTTGAGACCAGCCTGGCCAACATGGTGAAACCCTGTCTCTACTTAAAATGCAAATATTAGCTGGGCACGGTAGCGGGCAACTGTAATCCCAGCTACTTGAGAGGATCAGGCAGGAGAATCGCTTGAACCCAGGGGACGGAGGTTGCAGTGAGCTGAGATCACGCCACTGCACTCTAGCCTTGGCTACAGAGTGAGACGACATCGCAAAAAATAAAAAATTTAACAAAAAAAAGAAAAAAAAGGAAGAAGAATGATGGTTACCAGAACTGGCGAGGTGGCAGAACAAGGGAATGGAGACTTCCTCTTCAAAAGATACAAAGTTTCAGCCAAGCAGGAAAAAAAGTTTTGAGGTCTATTGCACAGCAGGAGACTATAGTCAATAATAATGAACATTTCAAAATAACTAAGAGGAATTTCAAGTGTATCACCATAAAAGAATGCCAAGTAAGTGAGGTAACAGGTATGTTCATTAGCTTCACTCAATCTTTCCATATTCTATTGTTAAGTTAAATTTGGTCTAAAACTGCCTCCACAATTCATATTAGCACCTAACTGGAAACAGCTCTAAAGTCCAGCCATAGAAGAATAGATGGGCAAATTACGGTACATTTGTACAAGGGAATACTACTCAGCAACAGAAAACACAGCAACACCAAGAAATCTCAGAAACATCATCTACAAAAGAGTACATACTGCATGACTCCCTCTATATGAGATTCTAAAAGAGGCAAAACTAGTCTATAATGACAGAGGGCAGACCAGGGGTTGCCTGGGGCTGGGTGGGGGAACTTCCAGCAAACGAGTCACAGGGATTTAAGGTTATGGGAATGTTCTGCATCACGATTGTGGATGTGGTGCACACACATTTCTGAAAATTTTGTGGACATGGACACCCCCGCCCTCATAGAAAGGTTATTCTCATGACAGAATACAGATGGTACATATCAGATTATTAATTTCTCTTCCTCAACTTGCAAAACTTCTGGGGTGCAAGAGAGATGGGCAGGTGACTGTGGGTAAGAACAATTCTACAGGAATGGGAGACACCCAGAAAAGGTAGAAACAGTGTCAGCATCCTAATTATTAATATCAGTTTGTTGTTATTGTTTTTCAGATGGAATCTCGCTCTGTTGCCCAGGCTGGAGTTCAGTGATGTCATCTTGGCTCACTGCAACCTCTACCTCCTGGATTCAAGCGATCCTCCTGCCTGAGCCTCCCGAGTAGCTGAGATCACACCCAGCTAATTTTTTTTGTATTTTTAGTAGAGATGGGGTTTCATCATGTTTGCCAGGCTGGTCTCGAAGTCCTGACCTCAAGTGATCTGCCTGCCTCCGCCTCCCAGACGGCAACACTAAGGTTGCAGAGCTCAGGAGTCAGTCCTGCGCCCCTGCCTCCACCCTCATGAGGTTCCCCTGACCCCCCAGGGCCTCAGCTTCCATATCTGCACGTCTGGGAGAGAAAGATACCATCAGGGAGGGCAAATCATACCTGGGAAGGGCCAGACTCCAGCAGTTTCAGCAGTGGCTGAAAGATCATGGTTATTTTTGCCATCATTACAATGGAATGTCCACTCCCCCTAGCCAGCTCTACAATACTCAACACCAATGTCCAGCTGCTCCACGTGGATGCGTTGGGAAGAGAGCACAGACTTCTTGGCTTGGCTCTGGTCACCAGGAGGGGTCAGGGAGGGACACCTGCCAAGAGGATGGGGGAGGGAGCCCACCACTCAGGAATGCAGGGGCAGGACGTGGGACAAAGGGCTGCCTCCACCCACCAGTGGAAGCCTGACCCTGAGCCTAAAGAAACTGGCCACCAATGTGCTGACCCTAGGGCCTGAGGACAGGTCCCTGAGTGGACCTCTTAAAGAGACAGTCCCAACATTCCAGGGCACGGGAGAACTCTGGCCATCTGGCAGCTGGAGGGGAGCGGGAAGGGCACAGCTGTCTGAGACCCATGAGGCTTCCCAAAAAGAGGTTCCAGGCCTAAGAAGCCACCAGTGCTCACAGACTCCTGGTTGCCAATCTTGCCAGGGCAAAAAGGCAAGTGAAGGAAACCCTCTTTTCATGGAGCCCTCTGCCTTGCAGTGAGTTGAGATCCCCGCGGGAAAGCTGGCTTCCGCTCATCTAGAATGAGCAGGGAGGACTCCATCAGGCCTGGCTCTGGCTCCAAGCTGGGCAGCAGGCCAGCCCCAGGCTCCACCAGCCCCTCTGGCAGAGGAGGGCCCTCAGGAGGCAGGAGAACATGATTCATGCCCTGCTGGAATTTGTTGAGCCTGCCAAGATTTGTAGCTCCTCTGAGATCAGGTCCTGCCCCGATCAAAAGAAAAGATAGATGAGAATACTATAAATAGGCCGGAGTCACCCAGCTGGCCTCAGGGATGCAGGTGGTACATGTTCTAGGTTCTCACGAAGCTAAGAAACTCCAAATCCAGGTTGACATCGTGGTACACCACCACCTGCTTCAGGGGGATGCAGGGGACGAGGAGGAGCTATTGGCACAGCGTTCAGTTCCAGCAAGTTCCGACTTCTGCTAAAATTGGTTAATTGGCTGCTTTACATGATTCAGGGCACACAGGCTTTTCTGTCAGAGTTCACTCACTTGCACACCCAGAAAAACGGACTCGGCTTGCTTTTTCCTAATGTTTGCCTCTGCGGAATCAGCAGTGGACATGTGAACTGGGGCTTCTGTCCCTGTCATGTGAGGAAGACAGGCAGGGAGCACTGTGCAATGAGTCAGGAGGCCTGGTGGGGAGCTTGGGCATATCTGGGCCTCAGTCTTCTCCTTTTTAAAATGGGGTACAATCGTCTCCCGTGGTTGATGTCATAAAATCCCACAAATGCAGTCTTTTTTTTTTTTTTTTTTTTTGACAGTCTCACTCTCTTACCGAGGCTGTAGTGCAGTAAGGTAATCTTAGCTCACTGCAACCTCTGCCTCCCGGGTTCAAGCGATTGTCCTGCCTCAGCCTCCTGAGTAGCTGGGCCACTATGCCCAGCTAATTTTTTTATCTTTAGTAGAGACGGGGTTTCACCATGTTGGCCAGGCTGGTCTTGAACTCCTGACCTCATGTGATCCACCCGCCTTGGCCTCCCAAAGTGCTAGGATTACAGGCATGAGCCACCATGCCCAGTCACACAAACTTAGTCTTAACCACAGACGTTGATTATCTGCTGGTTGTGGAGGTCAGAGGTCTGAGATGGCTCTCTCTACATGTGCTAACGTCACGACGTCTGCCATGCTGGGGTCAAGTTCTGTTGAAAAGCCAGCGCTCATGGTCTGCCAGAGCCCAGGATGGGGCTGTGTGGTCAGCAGGAGGGTGAGGGATCAATCAGCGTCACTCCTGGTCAGGGTGTTCTCGGAGGGAAAGGGGGACTTTGATCAAGTGGAAGCCAGGAGTATGCCCAAGACTGGCCTTTGAGGGGTACCCACTGTGACCCCCAAATCCTCATCACACTTCAGAGATGCTTCCTAGGGCCAAGACTGGGGGAAGGCTGCTTCATTTCATCTGGGCCATGCACCACTGTTGTGGGCCTGCCCTGTGCTAGACTCAGGGCCTAAGTTTTCAGCGTGTGACCTGCCCTTGGTGAGTCCTATCTGCTGTGCTGGGGAGACATACACACACACATACTTGGTCAAACACTGTGGAGCAAAACCAAGGGACAGGTCACTCCAGAGACAGAGTGAAGCGGGGTCCAGAGACAGAGTGAAGCGGGGCTGTCTGAGAAAGCTGTCCAGGGTAACTGGGTTTTGAAGGCTCACCAGGCAGATGACAATTCCAGCCAAGGGGAAAAATGTATACAAAGACATCAAGGAATCAAACGAAGTCTCCGTGTGGTAGGGGAGGGTTTGGCACTATAAACAATTTAGTATTACTTAGGGGTGAAATCGCAGGGCTGGACAGGGGGTGGGAGATGAGGCCAGAGGTAGGCAGGGTTGGATTAAGGGGTCTGGCCTTCAGACTGCAGGCACTGGGGATTTTCAGCTGTGGAGAGACAAGGTCAGCTCTGCATTTGACAGCATGAGTGGCTGGGGAAGAGCAGGGGTTGGGGAGGAGACCAGCTGAGCACAGAACCAGATGTCCATGCTGAGATGTTGCCAGAGGACACAGAAGAGGCGACTTTCCACCCTGAAAGGATGTCTGCCCAGCACAACACACGGGACACCAGAACCCCCACACCACAACTCTGGACAGCTGAGAGGTGAGTCACTCCAAAGTCCCAGCCGGGAGCTTCTTTGATGGAGGACGGGGCTACCGTCCCCAGGCTGCCAGTCTCAGACAAGACAGTTCTTGTCTTTCTCATAGTCAGCAATTCCAGCATTTGAGAGTCACTCCTTTGACTAACCCTGCTCACCCACCCGCAGTGATGAGGGGAGAGCTGGGCTTGGCAGAAGTGACCTGGAACCGAGTTCCAGGCTAGCTGTTGGTTAGCATGCACTCAGGAAGAAGCTAAATCTCTTTGTTTCTGCCTCTGTAATCGTGGACATCTGGCTCCTTTACTGTGGCAATGCTGCTGGGTGAGGTCCCCCAACCCATATGGAGAAGGGGCTCAGAGAGGCCCCTACTCCCGCATCCTGTTCAGGTGAATATGACTGTCTTCTGCGATCAGCATGGGGACAGCAGTGGGAATTATTAGAGCAGTGAGGTGGTTGCCAACACCTACCCCATCAGGCCGGTCTTTCTCCTCATCTCCCACCGTTACCTCCTGCAAGGGGCTCTTCTCTGGCCAGTGAGGTGAAGTCCAGAGGACCTCGAGGGCTGGGGAGGCCTACCCTTGTCCTACCTGCCTTCACTGCAGAGCAGGGCAGTCAGGGCCAGTCCATGTGGCAGGTTCTGGCCCATGGGATGGGCCCAGAGCCAGGCAGCCTTTCTCACCTGGTCTGCCTGGGTGGGCTGCTGGAGGCGGGGATGGCATCTTCAAGGAGAGGACTGGAGGTGAGGCTTGCCGAGGGGAAGGCGGACCTGGGGCAGGAGGAACGGATTCCACAAGCTTCTGGGAGGTGGACTGCAGGGAATGTGGGATCTCCCCAGAAGCCAGACATCCCCCTCAGGAGCTGGGCTGCTGTGGGGGAGATTGGTGAATCACGTCTTGGCCATGGCCCAACAGGGTAGAGCGTTGGCTTTAGTGTAAACCTGAATCTCTCTCTACTTTTGCATGGGGTGTGGAAATGGTAACTGGGACTCTTCTGGGAAATAACAGGGGGACAGACCCCATATTTCCAAGAGTCCAAAAAACTCCACCTCCCTCACACGTCCAGAGAAGGTGCAGTTTCTCTCCTTTGCCTGGTATCCTCTGAGTATCTCCTGAGCCCCTCCCGCTGGGCAGTGGGCACAAAACGAGGCCAGGCCAGTGACATTAGACCCCAGATCCCTCCCCTCCTCCACTGTCATCTCTCCAGTTTCTGGGTGCTTGAGGGAACAATGTGGCTTATGTGGCCGCCTGGTGACAGGGGTTCTCAGGGCCTCCAGCCCAACTCTCTGCCTCCTCATCCTTCAGCCTGCTGTACTCTGGAGGACCAGTGTCTGGCTGTCCTGGCTCCCACTGGCATTGGCAGGTGGGGGGCTGGCGACAGGTCTCCTGTGGACCCAGCCTGGCCTCAACTTGCCCCAGAACCTGGACCCTCAATCCGCTCCCCCTGTTCCCATGACCCTGCAGGCCCCAACAGTCTCCCAGCCACTTCTGGGTCCCAGGAATGCCAAGCCCCTGGCCTCCAGCTCTCCGACCACATGAACCACCTTGCACAGGCTGCTGCTGGAACAGCCCATGAGGCCATCTCCGTCTCGGAAGCAGAATTCTGACATGGACCCAAAAGCTTTGTGGCTCTCTATTGAGCTGATGGCCCAGGAAGCATCTCGATTTTAGAACAATGGCACTGGATGGGCAGAGCTGAAGAAATGTTACATTACCAGGACCTGCGAGGGTGGGCCCAGCAGCTGGAAGACCCCTGGACCCAGGGCAGTCTTCCCGTGGGGCCATGGGGAGACTTCTTCCTCTCTCCTTCAACATGGTCTCCGTGAGTCCCTCCCTGCCTTTTCTCTTCTCTAAGCTGCTTTCTCTGCTTTTCCAGGCACCCTGTCATCGGCCAGAGCTCCTGGGCTCAATTCTCTCCTCAGTTCAAATGAACAGCTCCTCGTGAATGAGAATCTTGTTTCTAATTCCCAGTTCCCAAGCTGGCCCAGGGTGTGTGAAACATCCACACGGTCAACTCATCAGAGTCGGACAGGGTCATGAGAGTACACACAAAGGTGTCCACCAAGTGGTGCACAGGGCCTGAAACCCAGCCTGGCCTGGCTTACCTAGCCAGGCTACCTGATGTGGGCCAGTTGCTGCTGGGAAGGGCCCTGCTCAAGTGCACACAGGCACAGTGGCAGCTGATGACAAATGGCTCCACTCCTTCCTGCCTTTTGCAAGGCGACATTTCAGCTCATCAGAAGGTGGGAGCTATTTCCCCATCCTGCAATCTGGTAGATGGCCTTATGATTTGTTTTGACCAATACAGTGAGGCGGAAGTAATACCAGTTCTGAGGCTAGACCTTACATGCACTTCTGCCCTTCTGGAGACCTGCACTAGAGGATGAGAGACCACATGGACCCAAGAGCAGCTGCTCCAGCTGAGGTCTCAGAAATGTGAGTGAGCCCAGCTAATACAGTTGAGCCATGTTGCCAACCCTTACTGACCTCAGACTCACAAATGACTTCATCTCAGATCAACAGAACCACTCAGTGGGCCTGGAGGCTCATGAAAAATAATAAATGGTTGTGTTTTCAGCTATTACATTTGGGGGAGTTTTGTTACATACCAATAGATAACTGATACAGACATCCCAAAGACTATCCCCTGAGTGTCACATACTAAAAATATGACTGCAGAAGCAGTTATCAAAGAAGCGAGGTCTCACTGAGACTCAAATAGAGACCCCCAACTGTGGCTATGACCTCTCCAGAGAAGACTCATGGTGGTTAAGATGCATAGACAGAGTCTGAAGGCAAGGTTCACTGTGCAGCAGCCAATCTTCAAAGATGGCCACAGGGAACCATGCCTCCCGGTGTTTACACCCTTTAGTCCCCTCCCACACGGAATCTGGACTGGCCCTAACCCTCACATTAACCAACAGAATGCAGTGAAGTGCCACTGTGCCAGTTCTAGGCCTAAGCCTTAACAAGACCCAGAAGCTTTGGCCCTTGCATTCTCAGAATACTGCTGCCACCTAAGAAGTCTGACCATCTTGATGGAGAGGGCCCATCCAGAGGGCACTGAGGGTGCAGACGAGTGATAAGTCATCTTGGACATTCTGCCACCATCTGATGGCAACTGCATGAGACACCACAAGCAGAAGAACTGCCCAGCTGAGCCCAGCCAACCCACAGAACTCTGAGAAATAACAACGAATTGTTGTTCCAAGGCATGAGGTTGTGGGGTGGTTTGTTATGCAGCAATATGTAGCTGGTGCACCTCCACTTACCAGCGAAGCGTTCTTGTGTGAGTCATTTGCATGAACTCTACTGCACTTTGCAAATGGGGGTGATTCTCATTAATCTAGGCCAGGAAGGTCTACCTCCTCACCCTGGGTATCACGAAGAGCAGCTTCAGAATGACACTTTAGTTCCCTCTTACAAAGCCATAAAGGTTTCAGAAATGTGGGGTTCAGTCTCAGAGAACCCAGTAATGTATCT